CTCTTTCTCTCTCTGTCTCTCTCTCTGTCTCTCTCTCTGTCTCTCTCTCTTTCTCTCTCTCTCTCTCTTTCTCTCTCGTTTTCTTCTCTAAACATCAGCTTCAAACAACCCCCCCCCCTCTAGTAAGCCCCAAAATGCTTGCTCCAAAAGGTACTAGCCTTAGAAATATCACATATTTTAGGGACGGGTGGGGAGATTTACAACTCTTTTTTTGTTGTAGTTTAATGTCGGTGTCAGACACACACACACACCCTTCACTTCCACCCCCCCTCCCCCGCAAAAAAAATTCTACACAACTTAGTTCTTTTAGGCAGCAGGCTTCCCACCCTGCATGTCAGCCCAAACCCAGGCTGAGAGGAATACAACATACCAGCAGAAAGACCGAGACATTGGATTAAAAAATTTTCTACCCACTCGGGAATCGAACTCGGGTCTCCTGTGTGCGACATCAGAGAATCTGATCACCGGTATAACACAGACGCCGGGTTACAACTCTGTTATTGTTACGAAGCCAAGATGTGTTATACCTGGAGATGTCATCTACGACTCACAGCTTGACGTGTACTGACCCTCCATCCTTCACGGTCGCAAGCTGCCGTTGCACATTCTGCCATATCCAGGCCAGTCCATGTTCTTATGTTGTCCATCCTTCCAATTTTGAAGGACTAGAACTCAAATGGCCACTGGATTGGAAAAGGAAAAGTAAATTATGTTGCCCACCCAGGTTATTCTTTGCCTTTCTTTGGCTATCCTTCCCCACACATCTTTCCTTCAAGTACCTTTTTCAACAAGTGATATAATTGAAAATGCAGCCTTTTTTTTCTCTCCCAGATCGATGCTATTTTGGACAGTCTGTCTTCCATCGCGGTTGTGTGGCGTTTCCATGGCAACGCTGACAGCGTCTACATGGTCAACAGAGAGAGGACGTAAGAGCTACATCATCAGGAGTTGTCTGCTCCTCCCTGCATGCTGTTTTCTTTAGTGATTTACCATACTTTACTTGGTCCAATCTGTTCTACTCTGGTCCAGTAAAACTTAGTCTAATGTGGTCGCTTTTAAGGACAAGCGGACTAACCCAGATTTCGGGGGGCTACCAGAAATCTTGACATACCCAAAACGTGGGCATTGCCCTACCTATAGGACAAGTTTGGTTTCATTGATTTGTATATTTGTTTGGTTATAAAGAAAACTCTCCTTGTCTTTTAAAGAAATTGAACAAGAGGCAAAAACTGTATCTTCTATTTTCTCAAATTAGCATTTTTCGGAATAGCTCCCTTGTGCTTAATTGTGATCCAATATTCTATCTTGATCTAATTATCTACTCTACCCTTGGTCATATCTGCCTCAGTCAAATCTACTCTGCTCTGGTTTTACCTATGTCAAGTCTACTCCACCTTAGTTTAATCTTCCCTGGTCTAATGTACTCCACCTTGGCTTAATCAGCCTTGGTATATTCTACTCCATCCTTGTCTAAACTGTTCTATCTTGGTCTAATCTACCTTGGTCTAATGTACTCTACCCTGGTTTTTGTATTTACGTATACATTTTCTATTGTATTCATTTTACTATTCTGCTTTGTCATGCTGTTTTCCTTTCCCTGCCTCTTTCTCCAGTTCTTGTATTCAAATGAGGTGTTGTGTGTCCTTGTAAAAATGGCGACCGAGGTCTCTGTGTCAGACCAGACAGCGTGCTGTTGTCCCCGACAATATTTGCTCAGTTGTCTGTTAACTCTTTGTGTGCCACGAGTAAAAGTATAGATGTATGCTGTATTGAAGTTTTGCCTCTCAAAAATGATATTTGATATAGATGCTTCCCTGCTGTTTTCTTCAGCGATCTACTTTACCTTTGTCTACTCTGCTGTCTGCGCGGTTGTTTGTTAACTCTTTGTGTGCCACGAGTAAAATTATAGAGTGGCGTTGGTGGCTTAGTGGTTACGCTACCGGACTCGCAATCATGAGATTGCGGGTTCGGGAGTTCGAGCGTCAGCTCGGTCCGACGTTGTGTCCCTGAGAAAGGCACCTTACACGAATTTCCCATTTTTTAGCGCTGTCTTTTCGGAGATGGACGTGAAACTCGGAGGTTCCGCCTCTTAGATTATAACCAAACAGTGTTGATAGGGGTGTGAAACCTATACCATTTCATTTTTAAAGTATAGATTTGTGAGGTATCGAAGTTTTGCCTCTCAAAAAATGATATTTGATACATGAGAAAAACTGTCCAAAGTCACCACTTCTTCGTCCGAAGTTTCCCTCACAGTCACATTTGTTAGATGTCTCCGCAGAGTGGGGTGCTTTTGGACGTCTTAGGGTACCTTAAATAGATACTCTGGTGGTAAAACGTGATGATGCACGAAGCTGATATCGTAGATGGTGATGCCCAAAAGGCTAACAATAGTGGTGAAATATTTTTCTTAGGCT